ATTTATATATGTTAATTTGAAGTAAATTGTTTGAATTTAACTTTTTTTTTCTCTTTTCTTTTCGTGGTAATATATATTTTTCTGATTTTTAAATCATAAATTAATAAATATTAAAAATCTGCATATGTTTTCATTTTCTAATTTTAAATTAAAAATTAAACAATTATTGTTAATGTATACCACATATTACTCTGTTTTGTATTCTATATTTTATAACTGATTAAATTGAAATAAAATATGCTACTTGACAAATTGAATACAAGTTGATATAATTTTTCATCTTTATAATTTAACACATTTTTACTAACTTTAGAAAGTACTTATACATCTTTTAGTGTAGCTATGACTTGATATAAATTTCCTTTCTGCTAGTAGTCCTGAATTTATGTCTATACAGCAGTAACTACAAAGATTATTGCTTATAGAAATTTTACAAAACTCAATGGATGTGGCCTAGGTATTCAGTGTTTCTTTTCCTGGACTATGCTTGTCAGAGGATTATCTTCTTGTTGGGAATATTAATAATTAATGATGATTACGTTTATGGATCCTTCGGTTCCTCTTTCACTTGAGTCTTTAATCATATCACCTTCATCGCACAGAGAATTTTTTTATACAAAAGGAGTGGGAGGATATGTCACATGCTACCTGCCAGGCACCTTGTAATTTGGAGGGGTGATAATCCTGCTTATTGGAGGTGGTTCAAACCTGATCCCAGGTAGGTCTCTCTCTCTCTCACACACACAACACAATGCACACGCTCATACCCACACCTACATCTAAAAGAATTCAAGCAAATAGACACTTGATTGTTTAAGTCTCTTTCCCAGCCTGAAAGAAATAAATTTGTGATCATAAGAATATTTCTAATTCATGCTTACAAACAGGTTCCCTGAGGTTGCAGAGGCTCTTGTTAATATCATCTTTCAAATCCATGGAAGGATTAGTACTCGCATGCTTTCTCCAAAAACACGTTATAAGGCTTACCTTGTGTTCAAGCTGGCGGACAAACCCGATGGATTTAAAAATAAACCTATTGAAGCTGCTATTCTACTTGGCGGAGCTGAAGTTTCAAAGCGAAACGTGTACGAGCTGCAGGCAGAAAGTGAAATTGTAGGAAATGGTGATCACTTCCCCCAAGAGAGGGGAGATAATTGGCTTGAGGTAGAATTGGGTGAAATTGAATTCACCAAAGAAAGAGGTGGTGATTTGGAAATATATCTTGAGGAGAGAATTGATGACAATAGGCGCGGTGTCATTATTCAAGGCATGGAGATCAGGCCAACTTAGCTGGACATAATAAGATTTTCTTTCACCTTGTGTATTTATGTGTGGGAGGAACATTTCTCCTCGTGTTAAATTATGGTCAGTTCTGTTATCGTCTAAGCATGATCTTTAAATCTTTATTTGAACAATGTATGATTTGTGAGGTTAATTACTAAGTTTGCAGTGATTTAAGAGTGTTTAATTATCTGAGAAAGAATGCTTTTAACTAGAATTTATGATTTAATTCAGCTAAATTTCGTGTTGGTCAATGAAATATGGAGTTTGTATCAGTTTGGTCCATAATCTTAATTTGTTTTCCTCTGCAGTCAAGAAACTAAAGAAATCGCACCAAATTGGTTGTTTTTGTCCATCATCTGTCAATTTGATGGATAGAATTTCACGCAAGGGCTTATCAATTGTTCATAACCCTGGAAGATGTTTTACAAACTTCAGATATCTTAAGAGACAAATGAAAATGGTTATTGCCACAAACCACATACGATTTCTATCTTCGTATGAACTTACAGGCCTTTTTTTCTAGCCCAACAAAAATAATATCTTATATATAAACTAAATAAAAGATCCATACAAAAGTCTTGGACAAAGGACACAAACCAGAAGGGGAAATATAGCACTCGAACAAAGCAGGAACAAAAACAAAACACCAAAACACCCTGATGAAATCCTGCAAAAAGGAGACGAGGACGGGGTAGCTCCTGCCAGAAGCTGTACATCCTCTTAATAATAGGCTTTGTTTGAAAAACATATCATCTACTTCACCTTTAGTCATCTGAAACACAGCACCATAGAGAGTAACTAAGGAGTTGAGACTAGCTAGTTGTGCAAAGCAACACAGCACCTCCGAGGAGAGACCTCTTACTATTGAAACAGGGGAAAAAACAAATTGAGCAGGGGCAGAGAGACCACAGTAGAGCAGTAGCATACAAGGAGTTCATTTCTGCTTATGACAAAGAATGGAGGAAAAGAAAGGCCACCAGCATGAGCATACAGTGGGACATGGAAAGGTAAAGATCTTGCTGCCATGCACCCATACCTCTCCCAACTGAGACACCCACTCCAAATTGCTCTAAAACAACTCCTTACCACCATTAATCTCATGCCATCATCAACTAGACAAGTAACCATATAACAAATATTTTTTCTTTTCCAAAAAGAACAACCTAAATCACCAAAATCCTTTGCAAAATAGCCAATCTCATATTTTAAACTATTCCCCAGGAGTCCATAATCATCAATGTAGTCTTTCAAAACAATCTTCCCAATCTAGCTACTCATAAGCATAAGAGCTACCGGGATTGAGAATCCAAAACAAGATGTAGTTCTCCTACATACATCTGCCTCTAAAGGATCATACAGATCCATCCATACTTTGCAATTTGTATATGAAGAAACAATGTCTAAAATTGCAAAACACATTTTTTCAATGAATAGAAATATTTCTGACAGCATCTTAGACAAAATACTCACAATTCTAACAGCATAACTCAAGGAAATTACCCCAGGCTCATGAAATAATGCCCTGATTGCTACTAATCCATGGTTAATTGATAAATAACTCTCCAGAAATGATTTTCCTCTATGAAATTGAAAACACATGAAGTCTGCAGAAACAGGT